AAATCAACAAAACTCCAAAGACCCAATTCTAATTTAATTTAATTTCGTTAGAGTCCAACTAACTAAATGGTTGTTATGTTGTTGATAAACTAGCGATTGTTGTTGTTGTCGTTTAGCTGGGCTCCGCTTGATGTGTCAAGCTGTTTTTCGCGGATCGATAGCTGATAAATAATTTTTTTTGGCGCCATGGCTAGGTGGCTGGGAGTCGCCAATGCTAAAACGTTTTGACATTTTCAGTCTGAACGATTTGCTCATTCCATCCAACCAACAGCTGGGTCGTGTGGTCAGTTGATGTCTGCTCCATTTTATCGAATATCCTATCTGAACAGCGAACGAATGTCTGACGGATAATCAGCTTTGACTTTGCATAGTTGAAATCCTAAAAATATATATACATACATACATATTTAATCATTCATATAGAACGACTCGTCGTAGCTAACCAAAATGGTAGGGAAACAAGTCACGTAAATGAATTTTGTTTTTAAATTGGAAACTTCAAGAACAAAATATTTACTCTAAGAGGACAGTTAGTTTTAGTGATTGAAAGCAGAGGTGGAAAGATTTAGATAAATCAAAAACCGTCAGCCTGTTTTTGAAAAATCAGTTGGTCTCACGGCCGTGCCTGGTTTTTGCCGTGACGAGCATGAAAATCTGGTTACAAATGTATGACGTAATAGGTGCTGCGTTTGTCGAAGGAGAACCCGAACACATGTAAAGGATCGAAGCTTACGTCCTCGGATGAGAATACTTCAGTGAAAAGGTGCTCTCATTTGGCACCCATGGGTTTAGGCAACGAAAGCAAGGGCGCCCAAGGACATATCGGGAGGGCAAACTACTGAGGGACCCCTCTGCACTGTTTCAGAAAATTCTTAACTGATTTTTTAAAAATTCGTATCGTTGTAAAGATGATTAAAAAAAATTTACAAAAAAATTACTAACCGATTTTTAAAAGGTCGGTATCGTTATAATGGCGATTAAACCCCATTTCTTGTGATATGCATATTTGTATACTTCCTGAATAAATTTTTTTTTGTCTAAAATATTTTTTTTTATAAAAAAAGGTGCTTTTTCCATTAAATGTGTTTTTTTTAATTCTTACATACGAAGAATGCAAATATGCATATCAAAAGAGAGGGAGATTAATCGCCATTATAACGATACCGACCTTTTAAAAATCGGTTAGTAGTTTTTTTGTAATTTGTTTTTTTTTTATAAAAAAGGTATTTTTTCTTTTAAATGTGTTTTTTCTCAAATTTTTATATACGAAGTATACAAATATGCATATCAGAAGAAAGGTGATTTGATTAAAAAAAAAAAAATTAGTAATTTTTTTGTTTAAAATATTTTCTTTTATAAAAAAGGTATTTTTTCATTTAAATGTGTTTTTCCGAAAATTTTTATTTACGAATATACAAGTACGCATATCGGAACATTTTTTAAAAATCAGTTCAAAATTGTTTCCACCATAAGGAATTTAATTTTTCGAAGACCTGAGCTTTGACCCCTTATAGCACCTGTAATATAAGTTTGCACAAAAAAGGTTATATACCATTTAAATAAGAGCAAAAGGAAGACTACGTTTGTATTTTTCGATTTTTAGTTATTTACATGCAATAATTAAATATAATTTTTTACCAAAGGTCCTATTTCGAACTTCGAAGGCCTATATCTCGATTTCGGAGGCCAACTTAGCAGCTAAAATGGTTCGAAATTTTAAAAGCCAAGCCTGTCGTCTAAGAAAACTTTTTGAATTATAAAATGGACACTTGAGATATGAATAAGACGACAAAGTGTTCTTGTTCCTGTTGGCTTACAAAATTCTCTATACTCAACAGAAATCGTTATACTATAAATCAAATTGCTGCAGAAATATTGTATGTGTGTATGTGTATATCGCTAGCTTAGAGTAAAAAGTTTCTAAGTCTAGTTTTTAAAATTTACGAGGATAATTAAAATCTTCCTAACTCATTTCCTTAAAAGCACTAATCTTGCAAAAAATCCACACTAAAACAAGTCCAAACGACTCAAACTCCCCAACGTTGAAGAAAAGTTTTTTGTATTCTTTGGGCATTACCACATTGTCTGCTCCTATTTTGGTTAAAAATCGGAGCTCGAAAATAACTCCTAAGCGAAAAACCGAATCGGGTTATCTCGGGTTCTTATCATTTGTTTCCCTAGGAGAGATATACAAATGCCCACATTATTTTGGTTACCCTTTGAGATTTATATTTAATTTCAAGAAATAAATCTGCTTCACTGAGATTTCCTTAGGAGACTTATTTGCAATGGTAATCCGGGTACCCGGATATACGGTTATTTTTACACGAGTACCCGGATAGATGGTTTTGTTTGCCCGTGTATATGCATAGAAGTGATCTTTATCCGAGTACTTGAATAGCTAGGGTACCTAGGTAGCGGGTTGCTTTATCCAAGTAACTGGGTAGGAGGTTTTATTTATTAAGGTAACCGGGTACTGGGTTATTTTTATAGGGGTACCATAGGGGATAATCTTGATCCGGATAGTGAATTGCCCAACCTGCCTGAGTAATAGATCAAGAATCAGGTAAAAGTTAAATTGTACTTCTGCACTGAGAATAATTTTTATTTCGCATCGGTAACGGTTTCCCTGTGAGAGCAACCAATAAAGCATTGTTAAAAAGGTTCCGGTTAATCTCCGACTGCTACGGTATTTCTTCTTCGATAAGTTATTATTCGATAATTTAAATTGGTTAATATTTATCTACGAGCTCTGTTAAAAACTTGAACAGATAGTTCGATCTATTAGGAAACGATGCATTTTTCATTGTTCTTACTTCTTGCATCAGAATCAATTAATTTTTAAGAAAACGTGAACTTAGCAAATTTTCACTCTGAGCTAACGATAGGAAAATATATTGTTATCTATCAGAGTCATTTCAGAAGTCATCTGCTTGCAAGAAACGTTGACTAATGAATATCCTCGTTGCAATTACCTTTTTGTGTGCGACTCATACAAATACATATATGCATGTATAAGATTATAAGATATACATACATACATACTTAGGTGGTATAAGTCAATTTGAGTTAAGCAATTATTCAGAAATAATTTGATATATTTGGCCAAAACTAATCAACAATAGATGACTGTGTTTCCCATTGAGTGCAAGCTCATTGGTGTGGGTTGATTTAAAAGCCATTAGAAAATTATGAACGCCATGTGTACATATATATGTAACTTAATACTTACACACATTTGAAGTATTAAACAATGCACATTTATTGCATTGTATGTATGTATGTATATACTAGTGTGCATAGACATACATATGGAAGCATCAAATGCCTGTGCGGGATTTTAATGTTGCAATTAAATCAGAATGATTGACAGCAGTGACCAGACACCGACATCCATCATGCTCAATGATATTGTTGTTGTTACTAACTATTTATATGTGTGTATGTATGTATATGCGATTATTCAGAAATTTGGGAAATGAGCATGCAATGTCGTAAAACTAATAGCTTATTAATGTGGGCAGCGCCATTAAATACTCGACCAAAAATACAAGCCATGCATGCAATTCAAATTCCTGCTCTTTTTTTATAAAATAAATTTTCGTGGCAGCAAAAAGCTTAAAGCCGTTTAACGTCCGCAAAGAAACATAATTCTAAATTTTAAAGTGTCAACAGTCTTAAGTTTTGTTTTATAATATATTTTGAAAATTTCGTTATGTAAGTGTTCTTTAAAATATTCTTCTAGATTGTGTTCTCCAAACACGAAAATTTACAGAGATCTGTTGACACGATTTTCTTCTTATAAATACATAAATTTTTTTCTTATATTTTTTTTTGTCGACAAAAAATTAACATAACTTCCGCAAAGCCAAGAAGATACTAATTTCATATGGAGAATTTTAGAAAATCAACTAATTAATTTATGCTTATCTTTGTTTTTTTTTTTTTAAATATCCCTTGCATTAATTTTAAACACAGAAGATAACGCTACCTGTTATTGGTTATACGCCTTTTAAGTTTACCGTTTTACGCGTTTATTTATCGATCTCAGAAATCAGCTTCCATAGTTCACAAGTAGTCAAGGGCACTTCCTCTCGCTCGATTCTTTCCCTTTACGCCATCGTGCACAATAGCAGCCAATCGTATCATTCCCTAAGAGCAGCAACCACCGCCTGAAAAACACTACATTCATCTGCAAGTCTTAATTCAGGCGTTGAGGGAAAAGCTCCTTGAGTATCTTTTTTCACCCAAAGATGTGCCGATTCCACTTACATACATATACATATTCATTCATCAATAGGTTGCATAGATGATTTCAGTAGTAAGATTTATATGTATGGTAAGTTCCTTTCATGTCACTTATGGCTGAATGCACTGTGTTAGGGCAGTCAATAGCGATGAAACGACACAAAACTTGCATTAGAATCAATTGTTTGCTTTTTTCGATTGATTTAACTGTAGTGAATGCAGAAGCGAAATCAAATGAAGTGTGAGAATGAGAAGAAAACACAACAACCGTCCTAGAGGTTCTCATACGAATGTATTCCAAATATATGTATGTACATAGTTCAGACTTAGTTCAGGATACAAATCTTTATCGTTGCTAACTTTGCCATCCAAAAATGCGAAAATAGTAGTTTAAAGAATAAATTGCTAAATTTTGATAACTTTGAATGAAGCGAAAAACGGCAAGAAAAACTTAGTAAATTCTATGCAGGGAAATCTATTGATCTTTTATCAAAATATATATAAAGTTCAACGCTTATGTTAAAAATGTATGTATGTATAGAACTTCAAATTTTCAAAGAAGCAAAATATTGCTAAAAATTTTGAAACTCGCAGATTTTCCACTTTATTTTATAATTTGGATATATGTATGTTTGTATTTACCTATGTAATTTGTTACCAAGGCCATCTCATCAACAAAACAAAAAAAAAAACAATAATAACAATTTAACAACTTAAAGATACGTTTTATTTCTATGGTAAAAATCGAAATTTTAATACTCAAAATAGCCATTGTATAAGAATTTTGGCAGCAGCTCTCGCAATTCATTTAGTAGTCTAGGATCTTGCAATTGTCTCTTCTGTGCTTCTGCGTTTTCCACCAACTGGGCTAGATCGCCATTTTCATCAACAAATCCATAGCTGAATACCAAGAAGGATGTTATTAAGAATAGTCCTGTGAATACAAAAAAAAAAAAAAAAAAAA